CACAAAGGTGTTAACTAACACACCTATAATTACAGCCCCTGCCAAAGATAATCTACAGACCCTATAATTACCAAGGATATATATTCATACAGGTGTCAACTAACAGATACCATCTCTATCACTGATCTGGATCTCTCCGTCTACTGGGTCAAGAGTGATCCTGTCATCAAGTCCAGGAGTACCCTCAAGAGTGACGTTGAATGACTCTGTACCCTCAGGAATATCATCGTTCGCTATTGCTATATTGGTACACTTTCTAGTTTCACAAGTATCAAACATGAGGGTAGTGGACAGAGCACCATAGTCCATGGGCGAAACTGTGTAAATAGAGTGAATAAGCGGAGTATATACCTGCTTATTGCTTGCTACACATACTTGCGGTTCCATCCTTGGTTGTTAGGTTGACGGCAAAGGAAAACTCAATAGGACAGTCAATATTTGGACTGTGCACCACAGCACACACTTCCACATTACCATCTCCTTCTGAGACACTGTATACTGTCATCTCCAGACCCACCACAGCCACTATAATTGAATATGAAGTCATGGAGTACATCTTAACGAACTATTTTGACTTACCATCATCATCAACTATGCATATTGTAGCCAAGTCATACATTGGATCAACATCTGTCGCAGAAGAAGATTCAAGGACACCCAGGGTAACCCCAAAATACTCTATTGCTTCTAAGCGTTCATCATTATAAATGGGTTGACTATAGCAAACCCTCATCATTGCTGAAGTTATGGTTGTATCATCAATTTGGTTGTAAATTTTTGTCTGCTGTGCAAAATCAGTTCTAGCTGGCATCAAATACCTTCTAATCGGATCAGGCATATCTGGAGCTGAAAAAAAGCCAAGGAAACTAATCTCAGATGTCATTAAACTCTGTAACCACTCACTTGCATCTCTACCATTGCACGTATTATCGACTGAAGATGAATCATCAATAACAAACACAACCACTGTTTCATCTAAGATATCAGGTGGGTCAGTAACCTGGGCACAAACCTCCACTGACTCGTTGCTCTCAAAAACAGTGTATGTTGTCTCAACAAGTGCAACAACAAAAGGATCTGTAAACAACCCACCAAGCAATAAGTAAAAATGAATGAATTCATACATGGCTAACCATCATCATCCACAATGCAGACAGTGTGCAGGCAAAAGTAACTCTGTTCACTTGTGTCGCCATCAGAAATACACGAAAATGTTGCTCTCAACGCGGTATCAATAGTCTCTATTAGAACCGTGAAGCATTCTTTATCTTCAGGACGAAGATCGTCCTTTACTTCAGCTGTGATAGTAATACTCCTTGAACCAGGCACAAGGTCTGACTCTTGTGCACCAAATCTGACATCAAAATTAGGAGTAGATGAAATCAGTGGTACAACTGTGGCATTTGTCAAGCCAGGCTGCAAACTAAATTGCATTCTATATTCCTGCTCAGAAACTCTCTTTGAAGAGATTGTGATGGTGATATCAAATTGTTCTTCGTCCTGATCTGGAAATATACTTTCACTGATGGTCTGAAATCTGTCAGTAAATCCAACGACCATCTCTAGTATCGGAAAACGCAAGACAGCAATGAATCTAACCATGCAGTAGACTAACTTACCATCATCATTGAATATTTTTATCTGTGTAGCACCGACACGTCCAAAGCACTCTGATTGTCCCGATGCTTTATCTTGGAAACAACTGGTTCCTTCGGGAACATTTTGTCCTATTGTGGCAACTAGCGCAAAAAACTGATCCACTTCCACAATTTCTTCGTCTTTGACATCGATGAATTGATCAAATACGTATAGTATTGAATTATTAGGGTAAACACGGAAAGTGACTGGTGTAGTTTCAAAGTCATCACCTAATACAAGAATTCATCATGGTACATAATATAATAGGTTGATAAACACCACAATAATTACAATGAACATAGGGGATTTGATACCTGCTGTGGCTCGTGCTCCCTCTGATGCAATATCATCAAAGTCGATGAAACGACTGAAATTCCCTACGCCCTCTATTGTGGAAATCTCAACAGGAGTGAGTGTGATATCAAAAGGGTTCTGGATTTCAGTGAACTGTAAACGAATCTGTGGGTGAACGTCTGACCCTTCCGTAAATCCATACTCACGCAGGTCGAAAGTGACTCTCAAGGCTGCAGTAATACAGACAAATTAGCCTATGAATATAACATCAGTGGATTCTTATACGAATGACTTACGATCATTATCCTCAATAGTCACAGTAGTAATGTTTCTAATGTACACTCCTGTTTCTGTTGCTTCGATAGTAGGAATAAATCCTGGAACACCAGGATCATATGCCAGAATAACGTTATCATTATCTTCAAGAGTAACATCATCATTTCGAGTGATCAGAGAAATTGTTGCACGATTATTTCGAAGTCTTGTAGAAGGTATTGTGTCATAATCGGTACCTCCTGTGGAGAAAATATGCTGCTTTCAAAAAAACCTCATTCACAAACAAGCATGCGTACTTAACCTTTTGCAATGCTCCTGTCATCAATAATAATTTCTCCAGGAAGTGTAACAGTTTGCATACCCTTCACATTTGGTCTAAAAATGATATCCAATCCTCCCGTGTCACCTGCACCCCTCTCCATAACATTATACGCAGTCCTTTCGAATCCATGAACTGCAAGACACTTGTAGCTTACAAAAAACCTATTTTGCAGAAATTTCTCACTGACCAATGCACGTAGTGCAGCTGGTACCAAGTTGGTAGGAACGGCCATCATCTGTTCCAACACAGCAGTCTCGTTCATCGTTCGCAGTAACTTCTGTTCCCGAGCAATCGGTGCTGCTGAAGCACTGCGAATAACCTGGAGGAAATTGAGTAACGCTATTATCACGGTGTATAGCTCTACAAGCCACTCTATTGTGGCAGTGTATAGCTACCTTGTCCGGCGAGAAGAACGGCCGCAAAAAAGACCGTTCCTACAAACCTGTTATACATCTCTAGTGAACCACTCGCTGGTTGTTGGCTAGTAACAAAAAAAACTGTTCTCCTGCACTTTTATTGCGAGCTGCGCGCTCTCAACATGCGCAACTACAGCTGCGCAATCATCCAATAGGTCCACACCCCCTGGGATTACACAGAGAAGCGCTTACGCCAGTGCACAATTCCACAAGCGCACTGCGGATAACCAAAAAGTTCGGAGGACCCCGTCTTTCGAGAGAGATATGGACTTCCTTGGTTGCCAAATATACGGCACGCTGGTGGAAATCTTGTACGCAGTTGAAATCAGAAATCAAGTTGCCGTGCGCGCGCCGCTTTTCTGCTCCGTATAGCTCCGTTCACTGTAGTAAACTACAAGGCCGACCCTGCTGTGGCGCGCGCACTAGCGAGTCACTCGTTCCGGCCGGCCGACCGACCGCACCATCGAGAGACCGAGAAATCCATAGGAAATCAGTTGGAAATCATGCGGAAAACAGGAATAATTAAATCACGGAAATCAGTTGAAATCACGTGGATATCTGGAAATCAATTGGAAATCACGCGCTTTTATAGCTCGTACGTCATAACGGTCCGTGTCGCACAGGGAGACCCGAAGCGCCTTGGCGGCCGCGAATGGAGCGCGCGGCGCAGTTTATATATCTTGGGACGCAACATCCGCTTGGGCACGCAGCGGAAGATCTCGAAGCGCGCGAATTACGATCGGAACACTACGATACAAACACAGCTACAACCTACTATGCACGCTAGCATACAACAAGTCTAAAAAAAACTGTTCAGCTCTTCAAACTGCAGAGTTGCATTTGTTTTCATCGAAATGGCTGTACTTGTAGTCAGTGGCAAATGTGGATTCCACCATATAATCAGTGTAGCGCCCCTCAATCACAGAGTCGTTAGGATCAGCAATCTCCTCCTTTGAGAGCTTCCCGCCTTGTCCATTACCAACAAAATAGCAGGGTCTCCTCTCCATCTCCCATGTCACTCCATTCTTGATCCCTACAAAGCTTCTGGGAGGAGTTCCAGGGTACCTGACTGTCACGATGTAATCATCGGTCCTCGATTCATTGTCTAATAGTCCTGTGAACTCTTGTACTGTCACCGGAACATTCCAGAACTGACCTGGAGTGAGTGAAGAAGTGGAGGAGATATGCGGGACAATGTGTTAGGAGAGGAAGAGAAGGAGGACTAATGAGGGAGTGTAAGTATCACTAGGAAGGCCACAACTTTACACTTATTGCTGGCCTCATTCGCCATAAAGTGCATGCTAGTCCAAAACGTTCTTCCTTCCGACAGAGAATCAGTTACCTAAAAGTCCGTGAGAGAGCTCGTTAAGGTTGAGCCCCCGCAGGACGACGAATCGGATGAAACGTGCCCTGTAGTACTTCCAGTCCACTGGGTCCTCCACCATTCCACTGGTACAGAACACGTACATCACCAGTTGTGTGTCGGCACAGTTGGGGACCGAAATACGCACCCTCGAACCGTTATCTTTTCTCCTCACACTGATACCATTGAGAGAGTATGTTGACAGTATAACGCCATCTACGGTGGTGGTACACGAGTCCAGATCCACCTCTATGTTGGTGCATGTTGTGTTATCTCCTCCAACGGTTCTCACTCCAATCTTGGTGACCATGTTCAAGTCGATATTGGAACTGTTGACAAGCGCTCTTCTCGTAGAGTGCATTGACGGAGGTGCAGGAGTCGGAGATGAGGTTGACATTATGCTCTTCTCTCGCCGTGACCTCCTAGCATAGCGATGGAGCTGCTGGCACTGGGTTGGTTTGCATCAAGCGCGTTGTCGTGAAGCCTGTAACAGCATCCGGATGCATCTCCTGTCAGATGTATCATTAACCAGTCCATCTGTAAAGAGTAGAAATCGTATAACGCTACAACATTGGCTCATAACTTGCTTAACAAACAATTCGACTAAGCTATTACACTTGTAGCTTAATTCTCAGAACTTGGCTGTATGTACATGTAGCTCCAAGGTAAACATGGTCTCCCGTCAAAAAAACTACAACAAATGAAAACCCAGCCTGATCTCCAATGCTTGGATTTGCTGAGAGCTAAACAATGTAACTAAGTGACGTAAGCCTCACCGCAGTCAGGGTCCCATGATGTGTTAATTTCCTCCATCTGGCTCAACCGTAATCACGGTCTCTCCAGTGATGAGCGCACTGTTTGTCAGAAACAGTCCAGGTCAACAGAACTCATCGTCCCACTATCTGGACTGGGTAGCACTGTCTGGTGTCCCATCTCAAAGGTCCAGTACCACTGGCAAGATGTAAGTCCCTCTGGAGCCTCTGTATATACAGCCAATTGAATGAGCAATATACAGTGGAGTGACAATATAATCCAGTGGGATTGACAATAAGTACCAGTGGAGATGGACAATCACCATTGGAGATTACATTTTAACTCAGTGCAGTGATCCAACTAAAACCTTCCTTCTATAAGCATTGATACAGTCCCATACCTTTTGTGTACAGTTTTAACAGTTTTTGAAAGCAATTTGTTAGTTTGAAACGCCATGGTCCTTTTTGTATATATATTATGTGAATGGTTTAGCTAAAACCTTCCCAGAAGGAGTGTGATGTAGCTAACCTGCGGTGTAGTCAGTGGTGTTGTATGTGAGGGTGAAGGTCGCGGACCCCTCCTAATAGTGGCTGGTAGAATGATGACACAGATCTCCTCCAGAGACACACAAACAATCGTCTTCTTTGTGCTGTACAATTGTCCTCTCATAGCCAACACAATATCTGACAAAGTGATGAGGAGATATTGTATGAGATAGAAAGTGGGATGAGATCAATAAAATGGTTGCGAAACTGGTAAGCAGAGGGGAGCCAAGAGGCTTATGTCTTCAAAGAACGTCCATCTGGACTTGTTCGGCGTCACATCGTCGTCGTTATGACCCTTGGTGAACACTTTCTCGTCCCCCACTGTAAACTGGACTCCTTCGTTCACTGACATCCACGTATCAACTCCTGCTCCTGTAAAATGATTAACCCAAAATTAAAGGTGGTCTCCGCACACATATAGAGCATTCGTGTTCATGATAGCAGTCTACTGCGCCATATGGCAGATTTGACAAACCAGTGAACCATGATTTATGGAAAATTCACTGTAAAACTAAAGTTTATCGACCATTGGCATGGTATTAGTTTTCCAAGAGGGGGGGGGGACGGGAAGAGACGTGCTGCAGTAGTCAATCTCTGTGTGAGAGGAGAGAGAACCTCTGGGAGCTCCGCCACTGTCCGGTGTCGCGATGCCGGGCGCACAGCTCTCACCATTCCGTCTCCCTCGGTCGTGGTGTACTCTGTGAACTCGTAGCCAACTGGTGCTCTCATCTGACAGAGAGCAAGAGGTATCTAGAAACAAAGAGGGAGAGAGGCTATTGTACTTACTGCACTCTAGTTCAGCAGAGTCTGTCATGATGATATGGCAGGTCCTGATGACAGTGATTGGTAGGGTCCCACTCTCGTAGGCCAAGTCAGAGAGGAAGTCTCAGCGGGCTCCTCACAAACATCTCATCATGCGTGATGGCTACCGTGTGACACAGCACCCTCCCCGCCCCTGCCTGAAGTCCAGACGAGTCCACTACAGCGGTGTAGTGCCATGGGGCCACTGTTGGAGATAGTGGTGAGGAGTAGTAGTGTGTATAAGAAGATCTGGAGATTGAACAAGAAGTGTATTTGAAGAAAATTCACCATACGTGAAATTAGCCATGTTAGTTGTTAATGTGACTAACAATACACCAAATTGAACGAACAGATAGCCCTTATGTGCTGGGTTTATTCAAAGCCACGAAACACCACAAATTATGAAGCGATCGACGACCCATGTTACCCGCAGTGTTTTCCATGGCAGTCAGTTGAAATGGTCTTGGAGCCACTCAGTCTCCGCTCAAAGAGTACGACACACACCTCTCACACTTCTGGCATCTCGGTCACCGCGTGTGACTCAGCAGAGTCCTCTCGTAGCACCACTCACATGCATCTAGAGCATATGGTGAGTCGTTAAGTACAACACACGTAGATTGAGGACAGTTGTGTCCTTACTGCACTGTGTGTGGTCGTGTGGTCTGGGTGCACCCACGGACGGGCAGAGGCCCAGGACCCCTGAAGGGCCTGGGCCTGGAAGAGGAACGAGCCCGGCCAGGCCACCTACAATTTGTAGCGGAGTGTGTTGGTACAAGATATCTGTCCTACTAGAGTGACCTCTCATTGATATACACACGCGCGCGCCGACAACATTCGCGCAACGTCAGTACATCGTACAGCGTGTTATTTACGTAGTGTGCGACGCACGTACGTACGATAGGCTGGCGCGCGCATGCAAAGCGCTTGTGAAATTAGCCCGCATGGCATGTTTTCTGTACTATATAGTTTTCTAGCCCCTGGCGCATGTCTTCTCTATGAATTTAATGTTCATGCTACATCCATTATAACAGTCATTATCCACGTAAAGTCCATACCTACCACACCTCAAATTAGCGTCCATGCACATAACTGTCCATCATGTTTTTTCTCTTACTCTTGGCCATACAGTTGTCTGGCCATATGTGCAACTGAAATTAGGAGAAAACATGGAGTCGACCAGGTATATCCTTGTAGTACCTCATACCGACTCGTTTGGAACCACAACCGCTCCAAGCGGCCCAGCCTGGGCGTGCGCAGACATAGAGACATGCTTCTACTCAACTCCCACGTGACCGACGACACGAGGGCCACAAGCTTCTATCGTATTGGGATCATTTGGGATGCACAGTGACTGTGTAGTCGTCTGAACGGAGGCTCCGTGAAAGTGTCAGCGTGCTCTTCCACCTCATCTCGATATTCAGAACTGACCTAGAGAAGAGAGAGACATTACGACGACAACTCTCTTGACATACTCATGACGAAAGTGTTTACCAAGAAGACCGTGAGATTCCTCCCTTAGGTTGATCCCACGCATGACCACAAAGCGGAGGAGTTGAACGAGAAGTACTTCCAGGTGTACGGGTCTTCTGTCCTCCCACCGGTACAGAAGATCCACATCACCAGGTCTGTGTCCTCGCAGTTGGGAACCGTGATCCTCACACGACTCGAGTACTTGCGGACCACGATCCCATTCTCACGATACATGCGGACAGGTCCACGCCGTTGATGCTTGCCGTGCACCCTTCCAGTCAACTCCAATTGTTAACACGACCCATTGTTAGAAACGCTCTAATCCACGGCGTCGATGACGTTTAGAGTAATGTTGGGGTTGTTGATGCCAGATCTGGCGTAGTGGGCATTGACCGATACGCATTATCGCTGATGAGGTTGAGAACTTGTCGGATTCTCCGTGGACCTCATAGCAGAGAGTGGAGGTATCGGGGAAAGCGACGGGAACAGTCATCAGTGGATCTCCGGTCACAGTGTCGTTCACAAATACAATTATGGTACCTAATGGAATAGTTAAGTAACAACAGGGCATCACAGAATCATATTTTTAGATTTAGTGTAAGCAGCTTAGCGGGTGCACAGTAAAGAAGCTTTGTGCTTGGATACGGGTCCCTAAACCTCAATTGGATCTCTGCCTGTAACAATAAATTCTACTCACTCGTGTCTGTTATGCTAATCAGTCCCTGTCGTGGTAGAGCGGTTATCCGACTGTCAGAGGGATCACCGAGAGAGATAGATACAGTTCATCAGGCTCTCCTATGGAATCATCCACGATTGGTACAGATATGCAACGCTTGTAGCACACGCTCCAAAGATTTGGATCGTGTCTGCATCCAAATAGTCGTTGTCGACCACTGTGGGGAGCAAAATAGTATTGATCTCTATGAATATGACAGCTGTTTGTTGCTATAATACCTGCAGAGAGATCGCTGGTTGAGAACATGACAGAGAATGGGAATGGAATAGGACAGATCCCAGTCGGCTCATACACGACGATACACACTTCCACTCCTGGAGCAGAGCCTTCTTGGATAGAGTACAGAGTCCTTTCCAGTCCTATCACGGCAACTGCATCGGTAACAACCATTGAAACAGATGGTCGGCAGGTATGCAGAGTAACATGTGCAGTGGGCTACAATACGGTGCATACCATCATATCAATAATCTCTATCTCTCCTTGAGTTGGGTCAAGTGTTATTGTACTATCCAGCCCGTTCCTCAGTAAGAAACAAAGAAGGACTCTGTATCTTCCACACATCATCGTCTGTGATGGACACATTCACACAGCTCCGTGTATCACAGCGACCAACGGGAGTGTAGTGGTGATGGAGCCATAGTCCATGGTAGAGAATGCAATGTGACATGAGCAATTTTGGTATGTCGAATCTAACACATGTGCATATATTTTAGTACTGTTGATTCATTGTCAAAAAAAATGATCTATCTGCATCACCGTCTGTCGTCAAAAGTTCAACA